AACCCCCAAACATAAAAAAAAAAATTTTTTTTTTTTTTTATTTTACCCAAAAAAATAAAATTTCTCCCTTTCTTTTTTTTTTTTTTTTTTTTTTTTTTTTTTTAAGATTTTAAATTAAAATATTTCAACAATAGCCAAATAAAATTTTAATCATCTTATTTATTTTAATTCTATTGTATAGAATTAAACAAATTTTTTTAGAAATTTTTGAGATATTTTAATATGAACTTGTGAAATAATCACTTTAAAAAATTTTGTCTCTTTTTTTTACCCCATTTTTCATAGATTTTGGCGGCGCTACAAACCTAATAAACCAAACAAATGCTATTAAGTTCACGGTCATTAAAATATAGAAAAGATGCAGCTGTAGTTTAATTTTCCATTTCACGACTGATAGTTGATCTTTATTAATTAATTAGTTACGTAATTACTATTTATGTTCGAACCAAAAATAAACATTTGATAGAATTAATTGTTGAAAAAAAAATGAAATACCGAGATACAAATATAAGTGGAGGAGGAAAAAAAAAGCAAGTTCTGAACTTTAATAGGGCATTCATTGTTGAAAGATTACGAGAGATGCAAGTACGTGCGCACAGTACAGAACGTACTGAGTACAATACAGTACGTATTTGTTGAAAGAGATAAAGGGAATTTGGACATTGTGATGCATATAGCAAAGAGGCGTTTACACGTATGTATTGGTACGTACGTACAGTACGTAAGTGTTTACCCTAAAAATTTATAAAATGTTGAGTATTCATTGAACTTTAAAAAGTCACATCTAAGCTTTAAAGTGGTTCAGGTAATACTCGCATAAATTATTATATGATCTTTCAAGCAAAACTTTCTAGTATTGAAAGATAACAAGAAAGCTTTGGCAAAAAAGTCAAGGGATTATAGTAGTATTACTGAAGAAGAGATCACAAGGGGGGGAGAAATGAGGAGTTATATCAGTGAGATCAGAATATGGGATCACCTAAATTTTATTGTGGAATGTGATGCAAATGTATACGTATTTGCGCATATCTACACTATTAGCTCTATTCATCGGTACAACGCAATATATACGTATACATATTGCATTGATCTATATTTAATTTAAAAAAGAAAATAGCATAAATATGTGCATGAATGTAAAAACAAACAGCGACTTCTTGAAACGGGTTCTAAATGGATAAATAAAGATATGCAAATTTAATCATTCATAAACTTAATTTTACATGGGAAAAAAAATTTGTCTTAAAAAAACTTAATGCAATAAAAAAACTTATAACATAACAGAAAAAAAACTTATCTCTTTCTAATACTATATAAAATCTTATCTTTTAATTTAAAATTAATGGAATTCTTATCTTTTAACCTTTTGCATTTTTTTTTTTTTTTTTTAATTAATTAATCAAATTTTTAATACTATTACTTTTGTCATATCCAGATTCTTCTTCAATATTAGGTGAATTAGTTAAATTATTCACGTTACTTGCAGTTCCATTGTTATTATTAACTATTTCATCTTCAACCGAATGTGAAGTATTTTTTACCTTTGCAGTTTCGTTTCGTAAAGGGATGTTGGCGCCTTGTTTGGCCAAGCATTTAGTGAGTTGAGAACACTCTATAAAAAAAAAATAATAAATGAAAATAATAAAGAATAAATAAATGTTAAGTTTATTAAAAATATTATGTGGGGACCCCTATCTCGTGATCTAGTAATCAGAATCAAATGATTTTTATATCATTAGATTCATCTTAGTGAGATGAATCTATTGATATAAAAATCATTTGATTCTGATTACTAGATCACGAGATATACTTTTTAAAGATCAAATTTTAAAACTGCCCACTGCCTTCTTTTGCTGTGGGGGTCCCTATGTAGAAAATGTATGCATGCAGTAATTATTACAATTTCTTACCAACAACTCTTGGAAATTGTTTATTCCTGAAAACTTTAAATTCAGCAGAATCAATCGTTGCCAATTCTTTTATCGGACCAGCACCAACATTTAAAACGCTTTCCCTATAAATTTTGTTTATAAGTTTTTTAATGTATATATGTATATAATATATATATATATATATATATTTTTTCATAACATACCATCCGAGATAAAATAATTGAAATCTTAAAAAATAATCATTCACAGTTCTAACACCCAAATTTGCATAAATAAACCATAATCCTTTTTTCCCATGTTCATCTGCAAATATACTACAAGTTTCACTTCTACTACCAATAAGGTTGATGATTTTTTCTTTAGGAACTTGAGGATTAGAAGATTTTACCCAAACTGTTGTACAATTTTCAAAAGAACGATCATACAAACTGGCGTGTAATTGAAAAAACTGAGTATCAATTTTACTTTTTTTGAAAAGGAATTAAAAAAAAAAAATTAAAAGGATTAATTTAAAGAAACAAAAAATATATATACTATATATATATATATATATAAAATAGATGAAGAGAGAACATTAAAAAAAATGAAAATGGAAGAACATACTCAATGTTCACGGGACCAGATGAGGTAGAAATATTTAATTTTATGCAAATCGGAGGAGAAATTGAACGAAAATCCTAAACAAAAAAAAAAAAATCGATACGAAAGGCCAATACATAAAATAAAATATAGTTAATTTTTATGTATAATATTTCTAATATTTAAAAAGAGATTTATTTTAAAAACATTAAAAAGTTGAATATGTAGAATTTTATATAGATAAATTTAAAAACTTGTTATAGATAAGATCGTAAGTTATATTAAGAGTTTGACAGTATAAAAATTACCTTATTGCCATAACCGCAAGCGCGAGCTCGAACAGGTTGTTGAACGATTTCTAAATCGTATTTCCAATCGGCAAATAACCTGTTAAAATTGAAGTTTATAAACAAGTTATATTGGTAAACGCATGTTTCATGGAAATATATCGATATAGACAAACAAAAAAATCTCACGTGCTCTTTTAAAAAACTTTACCCGTTGGAAGATTTAATTTGACTCAAGTAAGTATTCTCACAACTGACTTTTACAGAATTTTTTTCCTCTTCTATTTCTCCGCTTACCGAAGTTTCACTTCGTTGATTTTGAATTCTTATACTAAATCGTGAATTTTGTGAAAATTCATTGCTCGACATAGTAAAAGGAATTCCAGGCAGCTAATACAAGGTCAGATTATGATCTCTGACGTTTAGAAAAATTTTAAAAGGAAGAAAAAAGTATGTTGAAAATCGTTACCCAAGAGATTATTGTACAAGAAAATCAAAGATGAACTTTATATTATTTAAAAAAAAAAAAAAAAAGAAGACAAATTCACCTAACAGTAAAAGCGAGGATTAATATAAGAGCAGCTATTTTCTCCCTGAAAAAGGAGTCACGCTTTCACTAACAAAGAAAAAAGAAAGCTTTTACTTTCTTATATATTGTTACGTGAACGCTTTTCGTCACGCATAAATCCAGTAACCTCAAGACTTTTATAGATAAATCGTTACACGGTCCATTTAGAATATATAAAAAAAAATTTTTTTGAGCCATGGGTTGGATTAGGGTAACCGAATTACGCAAGTATAATCAATAAATGTCAGAGTATTCTAAATATCAACCAATAAAAATCTCGGAACTATAAATATATCTCCGGATATAAGAAAAATTTTCGGGGTATTAAATTATTTTTTTGTAAATTTTTTTTTTTATTAAATATATTTAGGGTTATGTACCATAAAGAGCAATTTAAAATACC